TTCCTGGGTCATGCCTAGCCTCGGAAGATCAACACGTCGCAGCCCTACCTAGGCACAACAGAGAGGTCAGCACGCCGGTCTAAATCCTATGATGCAGGGGTCTGGGCCCATCGCCCATTGCACACCTGCACATTGCGAGGGCGGCCAGAGAGCAGACCTAGCAACCTCCATTACAAAGGAAGTTGCGTTACGCGGTCCAACCCGACACGCGCCGCCCAGTCGCTAACGTCACGAAGGCTTCGACTGATACCACGACGTCGAGTGCCCATAACTGTTCCCGCATAGTTGGTTAGTGCGTATAGGCCAGTGGCCAGACTCGAATCAAATACCAAGATCTCGTTAAGCGTGTTAATTTGAAGTAACCGCGAACGCCGAGCAGGGCCAGGCCCACCTCTCACCTAGGTGGTCTCAACCTGCCATGTCGCTCCGCCACAAAGTAACAGTTGGGGGCCGTCGGGAACCCAGGCCCACCACTACCTAGATGAAACCACCTGCCCCTTCAGCCCCCACATCGGAATCACCTGCGGGTACTCTACGAGCCGACTCGACTTTAGTCACCACATGTATCACATATAATATATATAAGAATATACCTGTGATCACCTCTCAAGTGATCACGGCCTGATAGTATAGCATGGCAGGCGGACAAGAATGTAGGGCCACTGATGATAAACTAGCATCCTATACTAAGCATTTAGGATTGCAGGTAAGGTATCAACAATTGTAGCAACAATGACAGGTTATGCATCAGAATAGGAATAACGGAAAGCAGTAACATGCTACACTACTCTAATGCAAGCAGTAGAGAGAAGAGTAGGCGATATCTGGTGATCAAGGGAGGGCTTGCCTGGTTGCTCTGGCAAGAGAGAGGGGTCGTCAACACCATAGTCATACTGGGTAGCAGCGGCGTCGGTCTCGGTGTCTAGCGAGAGAAGAGGGGGAAGAAAAAATGAATATAATGCAAACAGATGCATAGTGATGCATGACATGACAAGTAGCGGTGCTAGGGGTGCCCTAACGCGGTATGAGGTGATGCCGGTGAAGGGGGCAAACATCCGGGAAATATCCCCGGTGTTTCGCGTTTCCAGACAGATGAACCGGAGGGGAAAAGTTGTGTGTTAGCTATGCTAGGGGTGCGTAGCGAACAAATGGGTTGTGAATCCGGATTCGTCTCGTCGTTCTGAGCAACTTTCATGTACAAAGTTTTTCCCATCCGGGCTACGGTTTATTTTATATTAATTTTAAAAGATTTAAATCATTTTAGGATTTATTTAATTATTTTAAATCAACATTATCCAGAACAGTGCACGCTGACGTTAGCATGACGTCAGCAGTTGACCGTTGACCTGGTCAACCTGACAGGTGGGTCCCACCTGTCAACGACTGTTTGACTAATTAACAGGAGTTAATTAGATTAACTAGTTGTTTGGTCAATTAATCTTAATTAGTTGATTTAAACAGATTTAATTAAGTTATTAAGTTATTACTTAATTAATTTTATTTTTACTATTTATTTTTTTAATTCTTTTTTATTAATCGTTCTCGTTTCGGGGGCGCGGGGCCCCTGGTCAGTGGCCCAGAGGGCCATAGCGGGCGCCGGTCAGCGGTCAGCGGTTCTAGGCACGGGCGCCGGGTCGCCTGGACCCGGGCACGCGCGGGCAGGTCGGCAGCCACGGCGCACGGCCAGCGGACCGGAGCGACGAACGGGAGGGCGGCGGCTGTGCGGGCAAGCGCTGCGGGCGCGTGGACGCAGCAAGTAGAAGCTGCCAGCGGCAGCAGGCGGGCGAGCCGCGGCAAGCAGCATGCAGCGGGAGAGGTGCCGCGGCAGTGGTGGGGCTTCGGCGACCACGGCCAGCGTGAGGGCACGGCCGGGGCGGCGCGTAGGAGTGGTGAGGGGAGCAAGGAAGCAGCGGTGCAGCGATGATGGTGGCCGGAGGCGGCGGGGAGCGTGCGGGTGGCAAGCAACATCAGCGATGGCGGGAGACGAGCAAAGGGGCAAGCACGGGCGCGGGCGAAGCACGGCCATGACGGCCTCAGGCGCGGGAAGGTGGCGTGGAGCAGCGGACACGACGAACGTGGCACGGGCAGGTGGCTGCGGACGCGCAGCAACGGACGTGGTGCGGCGAACGACATAGAGACGGGGGCGAAACGGGGATCGAGGGCGCGCTCACCGGGCCCTGTAGATGTGCAACAACGTGCTCGTGGAGGGGTTGATGGCGGCATGCTCCGACGATGGGGACAGCGTCCTCGGGAGCGAGCAGATCCGTCGAAGGAGAGGGGGATGGGAGCGCGAGGTGGCGGGTGACGGAGCCGGTGAGGGAGAGTCGGGGTCGGGCAGCCCAACGGGAAGGTTCGACGAACGGCGGGGCGGCGTCGGGCGATGTCAGGCGGCGAGATTGGGACGATCCCGATCTGGATCACGGGAGGCGAGGGGAACGAGCGACGTGGGGGGAGTGGGGCGTCGGTGGGTAGGGTTAGGAGTGGAGGGGGTTATGGGGGACCGGGGTGGGCCAGTCTGGCGGCCCATCGGCCTGCTGGGCCGAGGCCCAGATGGGGGGTTCCTTTCCTCTTTTTTTTGTTAGTTTGTTTTCTTTTTATTTATTTACTTTTCTGTTTTAAAACATTTTAATTTATTTAGGAATTTTATAAAATTGTGTCTTCTACATCATAATTATCTAGGTAATATTTAGTACAAACCGCACATTTTTATTTTAATGTTTGAATTTTTTTTATTTAACTTTATTTTAAATTTGAATTTGAATCGGTTTTGAACTAACCCGAGATTAACTACAGTGACAGAGGTGACGTGACATCGTTAACGTGGGATTACTGTAGCATGATTACCCAGGCGTTACAACAAATGTACGGAACACATTCCCATTCGTTAAGAAATATCATTTCAAAATAGGTCACAAGATATGCACATGAAAACATGTAAGCAAAAATAAAATACCGATGCAAGAATGAAAATGCACCATTGCAATAAGAAGTATTATTTTGCAATACACACTCAAAACCATTGTTGCAACACACTTCTCATGTGTACGCAACAAGAAAACATGTGCTTGCAACACATCCACCTAACCTTTGAAACATAAAATTTTCAAAAATTCTAGCCCAACATCCTCCACATCTCTATGATAGTCACATCACCACAGCTTGCCATAGGAGAATTTTGGCTCGATGGAACTCCATACGTCACCAAGTATGATAAAGCTTGATTAATCCATCTGGAGCACCACCATGGAAGTGAGCTCCACTATGGAAGTGAGTTTATGATATCAATCTAGGGTGTCTAGGCAATGCAAGAGGAGTGGTGTAGGAAGGACACCGAAAGAGGAGGAACCAAGGTTGTCAGAATTGCGATTTTGAATCGGATCGGAGCTCTGATGGTAGGATCGCAAATCGTAGAATCTTCACTATCGGGATCGTAGAAACGTAGATTCTATGAACTAAAATCATAGAATCATAGGGGATAGTTTGGATCATAAAGTCGTAGAACCGTATAACAGAATCACGATTCTAACAACCTTGGGAGGAACCACTATGAAGTGGAGGAGAAGCATACCTTCATGGATAGGACAATGAGGTAGAGTTGGAGAAGAGGTTACCGGGAAAGAGATGACAAGGAACAAAGCGAAGAACTAGAATACATGGACAATCATGGTCGATTCAGTAAAGATCTAGTAGTTGGATCCGTTGGATGGCAAGAATCATTTCCATCATTAATATTATTCTTATATTACCAATCCTCACATTGACCCATATGTTCACAACTAAAAGTTGGCATCGCTCGACCACCAACAACTAATTTTTTTATATACTTATATAAATTAAAAAAGCATATTCTTGATTAACCCTCCTACTATAAACCAGCATAAAACATTTTTACTAACCAAGAATATTTTTGAGATAGTCCTAAACTATTCAAAGGAAACAAGTGAACCTATGACCATCAGTTGACGTATATACTATATATCAAGGCAAATCATCTTATCCTTTATCTAAAGAAATTAATCCATAATGACATACTTGGTTGACTTGCTTCAAGGCAGCCAATACATATTCTTTTTCCTAGTAGTCTAGCAAAGAATCATCATCAATGACCTAGGGGCATTCTTGACCTCGTCGTGAAGCATCGACGATACTAATGTTGGTTAAAATTCACGAGGATCATCCTGCCACAATATCTTCTCAATCATAATGGATTTTGTATCTCAGGTGTCAAGCCATGACCAACTAAGCTATATCCAATCAATATAAGGGGCATTGAGCATTATTAGGTTGTCGCTTGAATCAACAATTCTAGGTGAGATGATAAATGGGTCACTAGAAGGTGAGGATACCAAGCATTGCAAGCATGCCAAAATCTAGAGAACTATAAAAAAACTAAAGGTGTAGGATGCACAAGGGTTTTACATGGATTGTGGGGATGTAAGGAGATAGACAAGTTTAAATGCAACTAATGGCACGTACATCCTTTAATGGTGCAACTAAGTGTGTGCATCTCGAGGGGGGGGGGTATAACCATCTCGATGAATATAGTGTAATGACTCGTTCCCTTTAGGTGAAAACTTGATGTTCATGCCATGAAACCCCAAATAGAAAAGGATAAAAGGTAACTCCATAAGAATAAATGTGGTTATGCAAATTGTATCAAGTTTGATGACCCGATGAGCAATAGCTAGCTGAAACATTATCCATCACATGCATTCCAACATTAATTCTTACACAACGTTCCAAAATTATATGCACAACCATCATAGAGGTGCTGACATTGATACACCACAACAAGTTGTTCACATCTAACTAGCATAGGCGTACAATAATACCCATACACATGTGCTACACCTCAGATCGAGAGATGTGCATATACAATGTGCACGTATATGTCGCTGATCAAGTTTAGTGTGTCTATTCTTAGATGACGAGTTGGGAGAGTTCTTCTTTTTCATTATCCAGAAAGGGCCTCAAATCAAGTTGCTTCCGGGGTGGGGCGTTCAGTTATTCGTAGCTAGCTTCACACTTGCGTCTAATTTTGCTGCTTCGTCATGACCTAAAATTGATGAGTAGCAACAAACTATCTCATGGGCATGCTCACATTGAACATTTCAATATATAAGAAATGACTTCTTCTAAATGTACCTTTGGTATCGCTTGATGTTGGATGACGAGCAATGCATAATTTTTTAGCCGTCGCAAGAAACAACCTGAAAGAAACGACGAATGCATAATTGCTTTAGTTTTTCTAACAACTTTCTAAAGTTGCATGTTCAGGAAAAAATTCGGCACAAGTGCTCTTCATATTTCGGCTCTGATTTCTATACAAAATTCACCATAAAAAAGCAATAATAATATGTAGTCGGTTATGCCACCTATTTGTTTTGATCACGCACTATTAGGGCATCTATGATACGGGGATGGTTGTTCTTTTTTACTTTTGAGAATATCAGTGAAAAACTAAAAGTTTTCCAAAAACAACAATTAACAATATCCTCTTGCGATGTTAATTCATGGCGCAGAAGGATGTATGAAGAACAATACTTACTCCCATGGGACATCCCCAACAAGCATCCGGTCGCCTTCAAAGTCTTCATATAGAAATATGAAGTCGTCACTATTTGCATAATCACCTTCTGCAGAATCCAAACTCTGATAATCTGCAGCTGCATTTACGCAATCCAATCCAAGAATTCAATATAATTGATACATAAAAACATGAAAAGACATCGCACTCATAGCAAAAGAGAGACAATACTGCACAATTCTAACATGCCATGTGTTTTCAATGAGAAATACATGTTTAAAAATAGTTTATTTAACGAGGTTTAGAAATGGCTTTTTTACCGGGTGGGGGGCGGGGGAGGAGGGGAATAGTTAAGTGTTGTGAAAGTCAATTTAATTTCCATCTAAATAAAACTCATGCTAATTTCACAACGAATTCTAACTGGAAGAGTACATTGACCTAGGGCCCCGTGAAGCCCATGGTGTTCACATGGTAGGTGAGCGATAGCCTGGTTAAGATGAATTGCCTTAGACCCAGGAGGACAAGGGCCCAATTGGCCACACGAGGTGAACGACATGGACAATGCTAACCTCCCATTTGGGCTTAATGAGCTTGTTATAAATTTGTTGAACTCTGGTCAAAATCACAACATACTCAATATGTTACCGCCCTCATCAAAGAAATAAAAATCAAAATGGTACCTTGTTTTATCATGGAAAATGTGTTTTATTTAACGTCGTCAACCAACCGTCAAGTTTCTTTAAATCGAGGCCCTATTTTCAACGGTAGGAAAATATATAAAAAATGTGAAAGGAATTGTAAAGATTCACTAGAAGTAGAAATCCCATCAAACATAATAAAAATTATATCTATCTCCATTGACCACCAAACCACCACTGTTGGAACAAAGCCGCCGACAAGCCTCTATCGTTGCTCCCATACCGGAGCCAGACAGACCTTGTCGATAACGGTCAGGAAGTCTTCGTGCATGTGTCCCTAAGAACCAGTGCCTCGGAGCCACAATCATCACAATTAAGCCCTTGAATCAATCTGATGAACCTAACACCAAATCTCGTCGTTGCGTATGCATGACGAGAAACCATAACCTCGCCGCTCCAAGGAGATGGCAGGAATCTACTTAAAAGCTCTGTTTAATCCGTCCCTATGGACGAACTTGAGGAGAATCAAAGCCCAGAAGACTGACTCTAAGAAGTTTCCCCATCCATTCGAGAGTCATTCATGCCAAGAAAAAAAAAAGCCTACCTATCTACTGGCCGGAGCCGAGACATTAGGATTTCTTTCCGAAGAGGCAAGCAGAGAGGAGGCGAATCCATAATCTCTTTGCCGAGATCGAGGGGCAGAAGGCTTCTGTGACTAATTATATTTTTGGTTTTGCTAAAACACATCTAGATGTGCCCTAAATATTACACATCTACATCCTTTATGTCCTTCGTTTTAGACGGAGATTCATGCGTGTATTTTTTTCTTTTTTCTTTTTTCTTTTTTATGTTTGATTGAGTTACTTAGATGTACACTAATTAGGATACATGATGTGTGCCCTAGATATACTATTTGAGAGCAGTATCTTGTTGGGGAAAATAATAATGGAGAGCGGTACTCACGGCAGAAGAAGTTTCTTGTCATCTTGGTGAGCGCCCGCGAGAGGGAGTCGTAGCTGCGGTGAGCTCTCAGGTTGATCTTCCTAACGATCAGGCAGCCATCCATGTGCACCTTGGCGAACATGTTTGCCTGCAGCCGCTGCGGTTCTGCGGTGACCGTACAGCTCCTCGGCGCCCCAGCCACCTCCTTATCATCATCGGCTGGCGAGACCGCGGCGGGTATCTTCGTGTTCTTTGGGCCGTCGGCCTGCTTCACGCCGGCGTCGGGTTTTAGCACGTGCGTGGCGGTGACGAGGTGGCGCCGGGTGGTGTGCACCGGCGGCCAGCCCACAGCTGCCGAAGGCACTGAGACCACACTAGCATCGCTGCTGATGACAAAGAATTGAATGCAAATATTAGGCGCCCATGAATACGTTGTGCAGATCAGGTGCAAATGTGTGCAATAATACATGCATGAATGCAATGCAATTTACTTGCCTGTGGTTAATTATTTTCCTAGAGTATTTAAGATGAACGTGTTTGTTGATTACTTCGTCCAGATTTATTGGTCTGGGAAGCCAAGACGTTAAGACCAAAGAGGAGTACGCGGATGTTACTCCGTTTGTTTCTCTCCTTTTAATTATCTGTCACGTCATCTTTTTTACCTATGTGACATGCACGGTCATAACTATGTTATTCTCACTATAATAGTCCAAAGGTGAAGATGCTAAAATTATAAATGAGATGACATGAATTTCATATGGTCATCTGGCCACATGGCAACAGTCTAGCACGTCCAGCCGCCCAATTATTAGAAGCAACACATCCACGGACGGACACACGAAAGTCGTTTTTATGGAAAAGACTGCACTAGTTCTCTTTCTTTCTTTCTCTCTTTTCTGTGGGAGGATGGGGGAAAGACTGCACTGCGCTGCATGCACAATCAAGCAGAGCCATGCTGCACTCATCATTGCTGCTCCCTGGGCCGGCCTGCGCTGAATATTCTCGCTTAATTCCTTGCAGAGCAGAGGAGATCTTCTCTATGTACGTTACTCGCTAACGGTATCTATCCGGCCGCGTATGGCCGGCCGGCAAAAGCATTGTGAGAATTAACCCACGTACGTCCATCAGGAGGTTATATATACATGTTTTCCCTGTATTAGAAACCCTAGATGTCAAGGACTCCATTTGGTGCACACACATATACAATGCGTACAAGAATCTATTCGCAATCATTTCTAAACGCAGTTCTAAGCACACGAGGACCTGAAAAATACTAATCAATGCGCTCTAGTGGAGTGGTAGGGGTTCAAAATGTTCATGATTGCAATCATTTGTGCCTATGTACGTAGAGAACGTGAATTAATCCCGCACTTTTCCCTCGTATATACTTGTTTGTTTAATTCATGATTGCTGAGTGCTGAAACTTACTACCTCCGTCCTGTTTAAATTGGTCCCCATTGTATTCCATGTCAAATTTTAACCATAAATTTAACTAACAAAATATTCATGCATGTCACCAAAAATTATATCATTGAAAACTATATTCAAATACGAGTCCAATGATATATTTTTTTTGACATGTATTAACACTTTGTTAGTTAAATCTTTGATCAAAATTTGACACAAATTATAAAGAAGACCAATAAACCAGGAAGGAGGTAGTAGTTAGCATTATAAACTCATTACACGACAGGAAATCCATATTTTGACAGCTGACACATTTTTAGCTAGCTAGAGCCGTTGGATGCCATGATGGTGAAAAAACATGCAGGAGTAGGAGTGGCTGCTAAAACTGAGTAGGTAATATGCATGTAGATGCATATGCATATATGTGTGTTGCTCAATTAACTATCAGCACATAACATTTGGCTCACCTTGTCCCATATGTTGTTGCCACCGACGCCTGCGCAATGCTCCGGTCCTGCTCCGCGGCCGCCTTCTGCTGCCGGGCGGCGAGGCTCCAGGGGTGCATGAAGCCGGTCGGGCTCGGCATGAACACCGCCGCCCAGCTGCTGCTAGGCACAATGCCATGGCAATTACCAGCACGCCCTGCGCTAAGCGTGTTCGCAGTGGCGGTACCAGCGATGACCATGTCACTGCTCTGCACTCGATCGACATCGCCGCCACCTTGAGGACCGTTGTAGCGTGCCATGGCGGTGCCACCGCAGCTGGCGGCGCTGCAGTTACCTCCGGGAGACAAGGAGATGCCGAGGCTGAGGTCTAGATTGCTACCGTGGAAGCATGCGCCACTAGAGCTCGCTTCCTTCGCCACCTTCATGCCGGTGGCTGCAGTGGCAGCGGTGCTCTCTTGCCTACCAAGAGGAGGAGGCGTCTCAAACGATATAAGATTCATCATGGCGGTGGAGCAAACTAACCAACGAAGACAGACAGATGGTAGCTAGAAGCAAATGAGATTGATGAGACAGAGGCAACAGATGTGAGAAGAAGAGCGGCGAGCTGAGTGAGTGAGTTGGTGAGCAGAAAGATGGTGTTATGGGTGGAGGAGAGAATTAATATGTCGGGAGAATATAAGAGATGGTGCAGTGGTAGTGGTTGATATGGTATGGATAGATAGATGGTGTACATATATGTAGGCAGATATATAGAGGTGCAAGCTATGGCTAGGGAGAAGGGCGGGGCAATGATTTCATACAAGATTTTGTAAAAAGATGGGAGTATCATGTGCAAGAGATATGATCAATGCCATATCTATGTACCCATGCTAGTGTAGTAGTAGTTTCATGATGTTGTTTTGTGTACCTAGATGTATAGCCATCACATGCACTTCTTAGAGCGGACTTTGTGCACCAGCTGAGTGCCTAAAGTAGTATCGAGTACTTTGAAAATATAATGTTTTAAGCATTTACAAAAACATTGCCCTAAAAGGAAACAAACTAAAAGAAATAAAACAAACTATGTCAAAAAAAACGTACATAAACTACACATTTTAGAATATGGAAAAACAAGCATATAATAGTGGAATTTGGGAAATAATATAATTTGCACACTTATTGTGTAGAACTTATGTGTATACATTTCTCATACTCAAGGTTGTTCAAACAACAAAGCCACATTAATCATCTCTCGCCACATTGAAGATAAATACCACCACAATTATGTCACAACTTGCAGAAAAACCACCACTTTACAAAATGGCAGAATGAGTCGAGCGTTATCGTTGACAGTGGCAAAAAATGTTGACCAAAATTTTGAGTCACATTTTGATGTGGCAAATTGCTCACGTGACAAAGGGATACAAAACATTGACTGACGGCCGTTTAAAAAATGTGGGTCCCACTCGTTAGTCATCTTCTTTCTCTCTTTGACGGTTTGACCACCCCCTTCCCGTGGCAACTAACAAATGTTGACTCCTGCGTTGGCTACACCTCGGCGTCCACCATGACGACGTCACCAAAGTGGTTGGCCTTGGGCGACGCCTCAGTGGTCGCATCATGGTTGGCCATGGGTGGCGCCTCAGGTCAAGGGCGGCGCCTCGGCAGTGTCGTGGCTAGCTATGTCAGGCTGGGCCTGGACATCCATGGGTAGGAAGGCGTTGCCGCCGTGGTAGGATTCCTTGGGCGTCAGGGTGTGTCTGCGCCGTGGTCGGCCGCCTTGGGCGCCTCCGCCTCGACATCTAGGGGCAGGGCGTCGGCGGGGAGACAAAATTTCATCTTGGTGCCAAGGGTGGGCGGGGAGGGGGCGATGGGGGAGGACATGGAGCAACCAGTCTCGCGCTTGGTGCCGGTGGCAGGCGAGGAGGGGACGATAGGGGAGGAGATGGATCAGTTGGAGGAGGCGATGGTCATGGAGGTCCGGGGGGATTGGGGATCTGGAGGTAGAGGGATTCACTAGGGTTTCTTCTTTTAAGTTGCCACTGCCCATTTTAACATCCACCAGTCAATGTTTTGTATTACCTTTGTCCCGATGGCGATTTACCATGTCAAAACGAGATTCAGATTTTGGCAGTGTTTCTCGCCACTGTTAACTATAGCATTTTTTCTGACATGTTTTGTAAAGTGGTGGTTTTCTGTGAGTTAACGATTATGATGATTCTATGCATTTTACTCGGATAAATTGCACCTCACGGCGATGGTGTTGTCGCGAGTGTGCGCGCATACACACACATATAACCTATGCACACACACACACACACGCACATGAAAAAAAAATGAACAAAGAGGAAAGGAAAACCATGACTGATTAAACAGGAAAAATCAACCCAATTAATAGCAAAATGTTCTAAAAAACTAATAGCAAAAATGTTTAAGAAACTCTGGATACGCAATGTTAAAACTGTGAACCTACAATACTATAGATACATTTCTGTTTTTTTTAATGCATACATTTGAAATACACAATCCGTCCCAGTTTGCCTTTGCATACATGCATGTATGTAACCCGCAAAAAAAAAACATGCATGTATGTCCTCTGAGACAAGTCATTCTATAGAGGATCTAACCTTGTATTTTTCTTGTTTGGCATGGATGTGCGGCTGGCTAGCTGGTGCATGGTGGGGATGAGACCATCATCTCCTCCACCATGCACGGTGCAGTACTTCCTGTCCGCTCCCTTTAATTATTGCTTCGCAACCCTACTTTGCATGCACC